AAAATGTTTCCTCCAAAATTATAAAAGCTAATCAGTTATAAAGCCCTCGAAAAATCATTAACTGTGCTTTTCAGAAACTTTTTTTCAACTTATCACAGAAACTTTAGAAAACATATAGATTCACTCATTTTTCATTTCATTCATTCACTCATTTTTATGGTTTCTGTAATCTAATTACCTCATAGCAACCTGTTCATTTTAAGAGCCATTAGTTCCCCCACATACCACCACCACCACCCAGAAACATGTGTAGTCAAAATGAGTAGCCTAACCAGGCATGGTGGTGCATTCCTTTAATCCTAGCACTCAGGAGGCAGAAGCAGGTAGGTCTCTGTGAGAGCAAGTCCTCCTGAGTCTACATACCAAGTTTCAGGCCAGCTGGGGCTAGATTAGTGAGATCCTGTCTCAAAAAAAAAAAAAAAAAATGATAAGGGTTATAGCCTAAACTAGGTTTGGCTAGAAATTGACAGAAAAATGTGGAAAAACATTTTATTGGAAACTAAATAAGTATACATTCAAATATCTACCCTGGAAATTAACTTTTTTGTTCCTTTTAATCATTGAAAGCATATTACCTAAACCAAAAATAGTAATAGCTGAATTTTTTACATTTCATTATTGACCTTACTATTGGCTTTTCAAAAAAATTATCTGTGAGACAAATGTTTGCTATTTTAAGATTTATTTCAAAGTTCTTTTCATTAATTTGTAGTTTATAGCCCAGATTTCTAATAGGAAACTCAAATAAAAATCAACAGTGAAAATAGTATGCACTGTGTCTATCAAGGAGTGAAGATGTTCAAAGGGACAAGTTTCTATTTGACTAGTAAAATTTAATTAGAAACGATATCCCGAGAAAGTCCACTTCCAACTTAGGGGAGTGCATTATTCTTTCTTTTGACACAAATGTATGACATAGACAGGGTGTTCCTAGACTGTGAAATTTGAAAAGGAACATATTCATGGTACAGAAAGCTTTTCAATTTATTTACTTAAAGATGAGGCAATCAGTCCCCACAATGTTGAACAAGCTTACCATTTCTCTCACAGTTTGACTTCAATCAGTGGAAATGGTCATGAGTTCATAATGTTAGATTTTTACTGAGTCCTATCATTTTGTAATTGCTGTGGCTAGTGTTCTCTTTTATGTGCTGAAATAAATTAATGAATGAGGCAGACACTATGCAAAAAGGCTGGGAATACAGCCAAATCTTTTTACATATATCCAAGGACCAGTAATCTTGTAAATGGCACTTAAAGCTCTCTTGCCTAAGTAATTACAACTACAGCCACATGCAACTTATTGAAATAATCACCCATTCTAATAGTTCCCTTCACCCATCTGGAGTCCAAGGCTCCTTACCTTGTCTTTATTCTCTGTGCCAGAAGCTTCAGGCTTGGTCCTTATCACAAATGGGGTGGAGAGTCGCAACAGGACCCTCTCAAAGGTGGCATTGACCTTCGGAGAGACGATCTCAAAACAGTCCTCGAACTTCAGCACTTTGTGTGTGTCACATCGGAGCTGCTTTCTTAGGCCTTCCCCCAGCTGAAGGACTGACATGTTGGGGTCAAACATCAAGTGGAAAGGGAAGGCTCTGCAGAAAGTATTGATGCTGATTCTGAGGTCTGCGGGAGTGTGGGAAGTCCCCCGGGGAAGGTTCTTTGTGGTATTAGTAGTTTCACGTTCTTTGATAAGGAAAGTAAGACAGCTACAGTTGCTTGGGTTTGAACCATCAGAGCGCAGCTTCTCATTTTCAACTTGCTCCACTTCCACATCCAGGTGATAGATCCTCTTTCCTGCCGCCTTTATCATCCCCAGCATCGCAAACCCCACAGTACGGTGAGGGTGGAAGTAGTGCAGCATGAGAGTGCCTTCAGGGAGCTCTTTGCATAGGAAAGACGGTGACTCCAGAGTGGCCTGTTTTCCAAAAGAAGTTCTGATGTGTTCCAACAACGCATCGAAGCCATTGAAGAAGTCTTGCAACGTGCCACCTACAGCGCGAAGGACTCTCTCGTTCTCATCGAAGCATATTTTAAAGAACTCCTCACCGAATCTCTCTTGAATTTCCTGGAACTTCAGACCTAAAAGCAGAGGAGAAGCAAATATTAATGAAGTGAGCTATAAGCAAATTGGACATGTAACTTTTAAAATGCTTATCAAAATCGGAGCAAGTGAGTGAAGCAAGAGAGATGTTTTCCTGAAGTCCAAAGTTTCCCACATAGAGTATGCGTGCATTTTAAATCAAAGAACTTTTAAAGTAGATTTATTGCATGCTTCTAAGATGCTAAGGGGAATTAATATGCTTGTTTACTTTTACATCAACTCTATTCTTTACACTAATTTTAAATTCATGTCAATAGTGAGTAGGAAGTACAGATATTCCCCACTATGCCCTCTGCTGCCACACCTGCATAGCTTCCTCCATTATCAGTATCTTAAATAATAACTACACTGACCCATTGATCACTCAGAAAACGTTTACATTAGGATTCGCTCTTGATACTGTGCCTTCTATCAGCATTGATGAATATATCCACCATTATGATATCCTCAGAGTAGTTTATTACCCTGAAAGCTTTACTGTGTTCCTATTTATTCCTTTCTTCTCCCTAATTCCCAGAGCATGAGCTTTTTAAATACTCATAATTTAATAATTCATTTTTGTTTCATGCTTCATTCTGCTCACTTTAAAAAAATTAGTTACCTTTTCCTTCTCTTACTGATTTCCCCACTCCTCACCAAACACATGTCTCTATGTGAACACACCACCCACATATGTGAACACACAACCCACATCACCATCTTACTTCTTACTAAAATACATTCATTAGGTTGTGGATATAGCTCAGTAGTAGAGCAGGTGCCTAGCATGTGGAAGACCTTAGGTTTGACCCCCAGAGCCACATGTACACAGACACACAGACACGCAGACATACACACACACACACACACACACACACACACACAATGCATTCATTAGATGGGAAATACTGATCAAAGAGGCAACCAATTGTACATGAGAGGTAAAGGCATCAAGTTATCAAGTACTAACAGAGGGTTTAGGTCAGCATAGCAAGGGATGTCATGTAAGTCAGATAGACCCCCATAGAGAAAGAAAGAAAACAAACTAACTAAAATAAAGAATGGTAGAACTTGAAATGACTGACATTCAAAAATTAGAGTAGAATAGGAATCTAACCAGACAGAATGAAGGTTTTCTTATACAACTCATTCCCAGATGCCCTAGAAAAGGAATTCACCTTACAGTAATGGAACAGATATGAAAAGTAAATAAATGAAATGCACTATGGGCTAATCAGAAACAGGATCACATGTGATCTAGTTTGATTCATTGTTGAGGGTGGTCTGGGGAAAATGTAGAGGAAACTTATGATCCAAAGAGGGATGAGTCACACTATGGCTTCTCCGCTGACTTTGATAAAAATTAGTTAATAGTTTACATATCACTTTCTGTCCAGTTTATACATCTCATGAGGAAGCTCTAAAAATCAAACATGATTGAAAAACAACAGAACACTTTATCAATGTCCTATTAGAGTGCACGGTGATCTAGGCTATGACTTGGTTTGCTATTCTTACCTCTACCATCATCAGAGTGTCCCTTTCATCCAGAAAGGGGACACCAGAACAGCCAACAACACTAATTTTACAATACATTCCAAACATCAAATAGCTTCAGACCTTCTGCAGAGTCTATACATTGTGGTAACCTAATAAAGAGATCAATTTGACAAAGGCATCCTTAAAATTCATGTGAAATGAAAATAAGTGAAAAATCTAACTGATAAACCTGTCTTTGTTAAGAAAACATTTCATATTAAGTTTCATAGATCTGATATTCAAGATTAGCTGAGAAAGTGACCTATTAAGGTAACAATCACCACATGTCTTGCATTGCCATGTGACAAGCTTACTCTTCAGCATATGTTGCATTTACTAACAATAGCAGCAGCCTGGGTTGATAAAAGCAGCAGTGATCTGCCCAGCTTTCTAGAGCGGAGGAGAGAAAATGAGGCAGATGAAATGCACTGCAGTTTGGCTCCTGTTCTGAGCATCCTACTGGAACTGTTTTCATAATTACTTAAACAATGTACACTGTTTGGTCTTTGGTTTACTTAATCTTCTTACTTTTCTTTCCATTCATTTGCTTCTATCCATTAGTTCTTCCTCCTGAAACTGTCTATTAAAGCTCGACAAAGTGCACTCACCTGATTTGATTACTATACACCTGAAATCCATTCTCACTTTCTGCACCAAAACTCTTTCTGTGCCAGTCTTAAAATATTTTTGTATTTTAATATGTGTTTATATTATTTTTATATATTCACACACACACACACACACACACACACACACACGTGGGTGCTGAGAATGGAACTCCGAAAGATGAGTACATGGTCTTAACCACTGAGCCATCTCTCCAGTCCCTATAAAGTCTTATGAGATACCTGAGAGAGATCCACTTCTCCTAGCACACTAGGCAGGTGTTAGGCCCTGTTAAAGCATGGATAAACTCTTTTAAATGTTACTATCCACGCTAATTCTTTAAGTTCTTACTATATGCACTCCTCAGATTCCATAAATGGCCAAAGTGATGAACGATAGAGCAATTTAATCCCCTATTTGGCAGCTGTTGGACACTCCCTTCCTGCTCTGGAAGCAAAAGGACTGTCAGTCAAATAGCCACTGAACTACCTCCTTGCCAGCACCAGCCGTTTGGAACACCACACAGGTTCCTTAAGAAAACTACACAATGATTGTGGCTGATTGCCCTGGTTTCTTAAGATATGGCTTCAGCCAGGACTGCTTCAAACAGTTTGTATGAGACTTTTTGCTGTCACAAGCCTCAGTGAGTTCTAGATGAACCTGAAATCATTTCCACCTAGGCTAGAGGGGGAGCACTTCCCCTGGTGACGTAGCAGAACTTCTGTGACTGGTGAGAAGAGGCGATGCTGTGATTGGTGCAGAGGAGCTAGGCTATGATTGGTCCCAAACAAATGGCTGTAATGGGTTCAAACACCTCATTTCAGGGTATATAAGCAGGCTGCCCAAGCTCACTAACAGTCATCTGGCTGCCTTCCCTGGTGCTGCAACATTGGGTCTAATAAAGGACTTCTCTCAAGTAATCTTTCCTTGCCTATTTTCAGTAATGTGGGCTGAGCTAATAACATTAAAAATGAAGCAAACAGAGTGGGAGAAAGGCAGGGATGTCAGAGACGGGAGAACAGCAGAGGTAGCAACTGCTGAGCCATTGGCAAACCATGCTGTGAAAGACAGCAGTCTTACTGAGAGCTGAAGTAGAAGCAGATGAAGAGTTGAAGAGTGTCCAGGGCAGGATGAAGGGCAGGAGAAACAGAGAGCATGCAAGAGCAGATGGAAAGCTGAGGCTGAAGAATTACAGTGTGCAAGGATCCAGAGAAGAGACATGGAAAGCTTTGGCTGCTGGAAGAGTTACAGGGAACTGTCAAGTCTTTAGTGCCAAGAGTCTCAGAACTTGACACTAGCTGGTGTTAAAGGCCGAGGAATCCTGGCTTCTTAGGCTGACACAAGAGCTGTAATACTTGTAGGGCTGACTTTCCGATATCCTACACCTATACAAAGACTGTGAAGAGAGAGGGCACCACCTGCTGCTGCTCCCGCCAGCCTACCACCTCTGCTGACTGCTGTCAAACACCAAGGGAGAAGAAAGCTTCCCAAGACCAACATTTGAAGCCCTCCTCCGTGCCCACTCCTGATTCCTACTGAGGTCAAGCAAAAACAGCCAATGGATACCATGGATGTCATAATCACTATGAGTGACTAAAAAAACCCAGTGCATACAAATCACAGACATGCCCATATTCGGTAGCAGTATTCTTTGTTACTGTGAGATTTTCTGATTATGAAACTCTTATTAAAATCTAAACTCAAAATAAAACATTCCTATAGTCTGGTTATCTTTCTTATATACCATTGAAACTATTCCATGGATTGCTTTTAGGCTTTGAAGAATTATATCATCCAAGGACTTAGGGTCTATTAATACAGAACAGAAAAAGAATTGCTTCTAATGGACATTTTCCACAGTAACAAAAATGTCTTTGTGGTTATTGAATTAAATACAAAGATATAAACATGGCAACCTTATGTTCTATTGCCAGACCAGAATTTCAAATACTCATCCAAGCAATACCAGTAAGTAAATATACCAGAAGGCAATGATATGAAAACTGCTCTGTGTATAGGACCCCATCAGCTAGAAATACTTTCTGACTTAAAATGCACTTCTGTTCCTGAGGACATAATGACTATTAATTTTCAAATGACACCACTAAGGCACATACCATGATACTAAAGTCACTTTTGTATGACTAAGGAAAAATTCAATTGTTTTGAATACTGTACTCAAATAATATATAAGGCAATTATCTATAGACCATCGTATTTAATTTAGCAATATGTTTTTATTATTTCTGTAATTGTTAAACTGAACAGGATCAGAAAAGAAGAACCCTTAGCGTTTGAAAAACTAAGAATAAAGATCAATTCATTTCTACGCATATGCTTCAAATCAATAGCCAACACTCATTTTATACCTCATCTCCAGTCAGAAGGCACAGAGGAAGTAGCTCAGTTCAGACAATTGCTGCTGTTCTGACGCCCAAGGTTCCACCTACGATTGACGCAAAACCCTTACTTGCAGTAAATCCCTTGAAACCTATAGACAACGCTCATCTCTGCACACCACAAGATGCTGTGACAGCTTGACATTTGGGTCTATAAGAATACATTTCCTCATGAAGCAGAATTTATAATGGAACTGTTCTCATTAATAGGAAAGTGGAAAATCAGAATTTGATATTACTTTTTTTTTTTTGTCTTTTTGAGACAGGGTCTCCCTGTAGCCACAGCTGTCCTAGAACTTACTATTAACTCACCTCTTTTAAAAGGGGGAAAAGCTAAATGTTAGCATCCTTTTGCTGTAAATACAATAGACTAAATTCCTTTGGGGCATGAGACTCATGTCTCATGTCTGTTAACCCACTGCACTTCAGTTGGAGATATTTTGAGAGCAAAAACC